ATAGGAAATCATTCATAAAATTCTAACCGGAGGTTAATATTTAGGAAATCACAACACGAGAGTTAGTACGTCGAGCGAAATAATCCAAACAAGGAAACCCTCATGTATATACCATGTCTCAAGTTGTGACTCCCTAAATACCAACTCCAAACCCTATGAATGAAAACAATAAACAAAAGGAAATATTCCAAACCTCAAACATGTGGAATAAATATCTCATCTCAAATTACACTCGGGTAGACAACTCTAACATAAGAGGGATCTCATCAAGAACAAAAATCAATCATAAGCCATGTCATGTAAGTCACGGTCTCAAAGAAAGTACCCTACTCGCGGGAATCCAATATGAAATCAAAATACGACAAATAATACTTACATGTGTGCATCTCCTTATGCAATAGCGATACTTTTGTAATATTCTTACTCAATCGCTCTGCGAAAATAGGTTTTATCTCCCTATCCCAGAACACAATGAAATGACGATACTTTTGTATTTACTCATACTCAATCGCCCTACGAAAATATGTTTTATCTCCCTATTCCGGAATACAATGAAATGACGATACTTTTGTATTACTCATACTTAATCGCCCTGCGGAAGTAGGTTTTATCTTCCTATTCCGGAATACAATGAAATGATGATACTTTTGTAATGCTCTTACTCAATCGTCCTGCGGAAATAGGTTTTATCTTCCTATTCCGGAATACAATGAAATATGCTATGCTCTTCATATTTATCAATTTAAATTAGGACAAAAATATGTTAACACAACATATTCTAAACATATGTGCACATATCTCGGTGTGCGTGTCCATATCTTGTGTTCACTGACATTTCAGGTCTTACACCACTCATAGGCATTGTGTCATAACAATACAAGGTCGAGGGACTCGCTCGAAAACTCAACAGTCGAACAAAAACATGCACATGCCGAAATATTGATTGACGGTCGACCGTAATTATGCGGCGGTCGACCGTGACAGATTCCTGGGCTTACCCAGGCTTCTATCCGCGGCCGCCCGCCGCTAGGGCGTGATCGACCGTGGGCTGATTTTCCAGCTCTTCAGGCTGTTTGTGTGTGATGTGTTCATGCCGTGTTTATGTGATCCAAACATGTTTAAAACAATGTGAAACTTGCATGAAAACATGTCTACAGTAGGTAAAAACTTCCGAAAACAAACCCAACATAAATAGCATGATTATTTGCATAAAATTTATATTCAAAATCCTAAGTCATGCATAGAAACTCGAAACGAAGAACAAATCATCTTTCTTCAGATTAAACCATGTTTTAAATCATTTTCAGATCTGAAATACTTCTGTAAATTTGTTCTCAAAACTTTTAACATGGAAAGACCTAGTCTTTATACATATAATACAAAGAATTGACTTTGATTCGTAAACTAGTCAATTTGGCTCTATAAAACATGTTAAAAATCTTTAAAAACGTTTTAAAAAACTAGGAGGGGGATTAGCAGAGATGAACTCGCTTGGGGTTTGTAGAAAAACGTTTAAGAAGCCAAGCCAAGGAAGATCTATAATCCAAACGCCAAAAATCACGCGAAAATCCACTTGAAAGCCTCCAATCTTCTCAAAGAATCAAATTAGGGTTTAAAGGGGTTTTGGTGGACCAGACTGGGATTTTTCAGCTTTCATATTTTTGGCCATTGTGTATGTTTCGACTCTTTTCTTTCTCATGTATGAACTCGTTCATACTCAAAACACATGGTATCATACTCATACACCATTTAACTATATTTATCAAAATAAATATCCATAAATCATAATTAATCTCATATTAATTATATTAACATAAATTTTCGGGGTTTTACATTTATGATGTAACACATACCAAACTCATATACGGTATTTATACAGATTTTGGATACCGAAGACAAGTTGACTGAAACCCTATACCTAACCCATCACATATCGACTCGAACCATGTGTCAACCACAAGTCTAGACTTGAGTTAAGAGGTCAACAAAGTCAACCCAAGGGCAGTTGAGGGATTAAGTAGGGTTTAAGAGAGTTGTAGGACTGAGTGACGTTGTCATCAATAAGTAAAAGTTAAAAATATGAGGGTTTGCCTATAAATAGAAAATGTTGTCTCTTTTAAAATCGTGACCGTAGTTTTGGGCAACAACAATAAATTGAGAGAGTTAGCGAGAGAGTTGACATTGAAGCCATAGTGATCATTCATGAAGAAGATGAACCCAACTGTAGAAATTCATCCTTGAAACCCAACCCAACACTATGAACACTTTCCTAAGTTAAATATTTTGAAACTTCCTTTTTGCTTGTCTTAATCTCATATCAAAACTCATGTTTTAGTTTGTCCATCTCATAGTCATGATGTTATCTCGCTTGATTTTACAATAGAAAACTTGAGATTCAATCGATTTCAATTGAGGCAAGCACCATATACATTCATTTGATTAGTTCTTATTAATAGGGAATGTTTATCTTCAGTTTTACTCTGTTAGTGTTTGATTCATTTCATAGGGTTGATTGAATGTGGTTATTATCATATGGAAGTTTATACTTTTGGATAGTACCGAATCATGATATTATTCGGTTTATTCTTAATAGTTTGCAAACTTGCTGGAAATGGTTGGTAGAATGTTTTTTAAAAATGGATAATCCTTTTAATGAGGAAAAATTAGGGTGTGATAGAGTAGAAATTAGAAAAAATGGCTGAAAAAAGCAGTCTACTGGGATGAGCCACTAATGTTCTTGGTTTCACTGATGGTTCATCCAGATTCAACTTATTCCTTGAGTCTCAACAACCATCGGTCCACCTAAGACATGTAACATCAGTTGCAAATCTGACGATGGTTTTGGATGCCTAATAGTTGATGACAAAATTCGAACTTTTAATTTACCGTTTAATTTGAGTTTCTGACTTCCAATTCCACTTCTTTCTTCATTGTGTGCTTCTTATCATTGGAAATTGTCTTTTTTTTTGTCAATGAAAATTTCATTCATCTTCCAAATTTGAAAATTTCTGTACATCAACTTCTCAGTAGAACTGAGATTACACTGATAGCTAGAAGCTTACAATCTCAGGTAGTTATAAGGTACAAATCCATTCCTTGTTATCTGTCGAGAAAGATCCATTGAGTATGGTAGTTAGAATGATGAACTTAATCTCCTTGAACAATTGCACAGCAGGCTTCACTTCTTGCTTGAAGATTCTAGTGTTCCTTTCACACCAGATACTATAAATTGTTGCAGTAAGAGCCATTTCTTAACTTTTTGTTTAAAGCCATTCCCCCTCAATCTTAAACAATACCAGTTCATAATCAGGTCCCAATTACAAGACCTCCACTTGAATTGTAACCAGTCCATGATCAGGAGCCAAACTTCCCTTGAATATTGGCACTCAAAGAAGAGATGATTCCTGCTCTCATTGCCAGTGCACCAGCACAGGTATTATCATTCACAATTCTCCTTTTGATCAATCTATCTTGTGTGAGCAAACGATCATGAGCTGCTAGCCAACTGACAAAAGAATGTCTGGGTAGGCATGATGTCTCCTACACAGACTTATACCATGGCACTTACGAGGTAGCAGGGGATAGGGCAGAATACAACATAGAAAGTTGAATTTTAGAATTCCTGAAACAACTTTGAATTAGTTGTATCAAGTTGTCAGCATCACCATAAGTTCTCAGAGCTTTATCCCTGACTTTCAAAAAAATTTCCACATCCAAGAATCCATGCTCTTAGGTTGAACATTCCAGATATCATTGTGCTTTAAATATGTGCCATGTATCCACTTGATCCAAAGATTTTCTTTATTTATATGAATGAGCCACAGAGTTCTTAGAGTTGATGCCATATTCCATATAGCGGTAGAATAGATGCCAAGACCTCATTGTTTCTTGCTTAAACAGGCTTTGTCCCAAGAAATAGGATACATTTTTCGAACCTGATCTGCTTTCCCCCACAGGAAAGATCTACTCATTTCATCAATTTCCTATAAAACTTTGATAGGCAAGACATAGTTTGATGTCCAATAGATTTGTATGCCTAGTATAATGCTTTTGATAATCTGTAATCTGCCTGCGTAGGATAGCATCCTATTTTTCAAACAAGCTTGGAATTGATTTGATATTCTGATTAAAAGAGGAGAGCAGTCATTATATGATAGCCTTTTGCATATCAATGGAACTCCCAAATATTTGATAGGGAAGGCTCCCTCATTAAAATTCAAGATTCTGTCAATATGACCTTTAGTGATTTCATCAACACCCCCATAGAATACCTTACATTTACCTTGATTTGCTTCTAGTCCAGATACTGAGCTAAATTCCTTGAAGCAATCAAAGAGAAGTTTGACTGAGTGAGGATCACCCTTAGAGAAAAGTAAGAGATCATCTGCAAATATTAGGTGTGTGATCTTATGCACACCGCACCCAGGATGAAACTTAAAAGCCATGTTCTCCTTAAGCATCACCAATTTCCTAGATAGATACTCCATGCCCAAATTAAGCAAGTAAGGTAATAGAGGATCACCTTGTCTTAGGCCTCTCTCACCTTTGAAATAACCATGAAGGGTGCCATTCAATGATATGGAGAATTTGGGTGAAGAGATACACACCATAACCCAGTTTATGAATTTAGCAGGAAATCCAAGGCCTATTAGCATCTCATTTAAGAAGTCCCAGTTAATATTATCAAAAGCCTTTTTAATGTCTATGCTCAGCATAACCCTTAGAGAAATGTGTTTCCTATTGTAGTTCTTCACAATCTTATTTGCAAGCAGGATATTACTTGAGATATGTCTACCTTTGACAAAGGTAGATTGAGCCTCATTTATTAGATAACTCATCACTGCTTTTATCCTGTTAGAAAGGATTTTTGAAATTATTTTGTAGAGGCAGTTACAACAAGCAATATGCCTAAAATCAGATGGAGTTCTAGGGTTCACTTTTGGAACCAAAGTGATGGAAGTAGAGTTAATCATTCCAAGGATTTTCCCAGATTGAAAGAATTAAGAGATAGCCTTAGTTACCTCATCACCAATAACACTCCAAGCTGATTTGTAGAAGGACATACTAAATCCATCAGGCCCCGGAGCTTTGTTATCATCCATAAAGAAAATTGCATTTTTTATTTCATCTCTGGTCACAGTAGAGGATAGAGAGTTTGCTTGTGCTTCGTTTAAACATGGACCATTGCAGATGATATTTTTGTCAGATTTGGCAATTGGTGTGCTAGAGCCCAAAAGATTCTTATAAAAATCAATAAGCTCTTGAATGATCATACCACCATCTGTGATTCTGTCCCTTGAAATTATTGTATAGCACCGTAACTCTATTAAGATTCCTTTTAGCTTTGATGGCAGAATGAAAGTAGCTTGTACTTCTGTCACCTTGTAAGTACCATTGAATTCTGGACTTTTGCTGGTAGAAAGACAGTTCACACTCTAGTAGCTTATTGAGTGAAATTACACAATTTTTTTCCTGAGCAATGAAATCAGGATTAAGAGGGCCAGATTGTAGGTTTTTTTGAGCATTCTCCAAATTAGCCATTGCTCTATTTACCTGCTCACTAATGTTGTGATAGTTTTTCTTGTTCAAATCCTTGAGAGCAATCTTCAATAATTTCAGCTTGCTAGCAACAGAATACATTGCACAACCTGGAATTTGAGTTTGCCAGATAGAAGATACTAAGGGTAAGTAGTTGTGATGATTGATCCACATCTTGAAGAATTTAAATGGTTTTTTCCCTTGCACACATTCATCATATATGGACACCAAAGCTAGGGAATGATCTGAACAATTGGGTAACAAGTATTCAACATGACTAGAGTTTTGTAAATTTAGCCAGGCATCATTAACCAGGGTTCTATCCAGTCTACTCCATACTCTGGAATTTGCCTCTTGTTTATTGTTCCAAGTGAAGAAGCAGCCTTCAGTTTTCAAATGAGAAAGTTGACAACCATAAATGAAATTCCTGAAATTAGTTGTTTCAGCTTCAGTAACCATAGCTCCACCAAGCTTATCCTCATGTCCAGTTATAGCATTAAAATCACCACATAGGATCCATGGCTTATTCCCAATAGATTGTTGAATTTGTTTTAACTCTGACAAGAGAGATTTCCTATTCTCAACCTGATTGTATACATATATAGAAGAAATATGACATTCAATCCTTCCATCTAAAGATTTAGTTGAGTAGGTGATATGCTGAGGTGAGTAGCTGTCAACCTGAATATCCAGTGTATTTGGATCCCATAGGATCAGAATTCTAGTCTTACAAGAATTGAAATCATTTGAAAACCAATTCCAATTGCAAGCAATCTTTTTAGCTAAAACTGGAAGTTTGCAAGCCTTAGTTCTTGTTTCAATGAGAGCCATGAATGAAAGATGATACTGTTGAATATAAAGCTTGCAAGCCTTAGTGGAAATTATCTTTATGTAGGTGGATTTGCATATATCTTGATATCTAGCATGTTTTGGGTTTTTTTCCCTGAGAATTCTTAGAACTAGTTTCTGACAAACATGGGATTTTGAATTGTCAACCACTTACATACTTCTATGATTTGGTATGTTTATTATGATGCTAAGAATGTGTTGATGTGGCTCATATCTCTTGACTTGGATGATTAAGGCATTTGACCATTCCTATATTGTAAATGAATAACGATTCCCTTATTTGTGGATTACGGATATGTTATGTTAGACCACGACTTCAAGGCACATTCATGCGCGAGGCTTAGACCTATAATTGCTTTTCTTGGTTTCCGGTTGGGATATTACCAGTTAACACACTGATGTACACACGGAGACCTAAGGCTCCTACTTTTGATGTATGTTTTATATTTTATTTCTTTGATAAACTTAAAGTTTATAATTTAGAAGTTTTTCTTATTTTATTTTAGTGACTAAAGAAATTTTAATTATAGAGTTTAATTTTTGAATAGAAATCTGTTGAACAATATAGGGCTTCTTGTGTAAAGGAATATTGACATCATTTGGCTAATGCAAAACAAAAATTAAAGAGCAAAGAACTTAGGGTGAGTTATTTCTCATGTTCTTTTTGTCCTTATGCTGATAATTTAATATATGATCAATTAATTGAACATGCCAGAGAGTTTTCAAATGATGATCTGAGTTTTCACTCGCTGATGTTTGAGAGATAGTCATCACGAGCTCCTTCAGTACCCCTGCATGTTGAAAAAAAGGATCTCTGAATCCTCATTAGAAGGATGAGGATGTACTTAAATTTACTAATAATTTATCTTAGTTTCTATCTATTTCATGTTTAAGTGCAATCGTCGTATTCTTAGTTAGCCTTTGTGTTGCGCTTATTTTACTAACTATATCTTTTTTAGATAAACTTTTTTTTATATTTTTTCTTTTATTCGAGATCTCCTTAAGAATTTCATCATCATCACCTTCCATAATATGAAGATACCTAGCCTAATGATTTAATCTTTGAGATTTAATATTTTATTGCTGCATAGAAAATAAAAAAGATTAAGCATGCATAGTTAATTTTATAGTTTAATTGCGAAAATTATGAACTAAAAAAAGTGGATGATCAGCAAGTATCAAAATATTGACATAATTAAAAAAATTTAAAAATGGTTGAGTACTCAGGTACCATCAATCAGGAAGTCAAAATCTAACAACTACAAATCGTTGAAACTTAAGTCAAAATCCATGGCAAAAAAATAAAAAAATTCAATGAGATCAATCAAGAAAAATAAGGAACTTTAAAAATCATTGAAACTAATGTTAAAATCCAAATTCTTCACCGTGATATATCATAATGGCATGAATAATAGAACATAGAAGTGATCATTACATTAAACTAAAATGGAAATTTTTTTGTAACTTGAATGTTACCTTTCCATAGCCAAGTAAGAATGAGTGAAATTTTTAGAAAATCCTAGCAACAAAGAAAATAAAGATGAAATAAGAAGCCTTCTCTTGCACGATCATAATCTAGCATGATTTTATTGACCAAATTTTTTACTAAAATAGTAGGGAAAAATGTGTCGAGGCCCCAAAAGCAGAAACTTCATGTGATGAGACCCCTTGTATTTTCCCCCATGTGGATAAGTCCCAAATACCTATAGTATTTGTAACGAGACCCTAAAGTATCGCTTTGCAAAAAAAAAAACCATGAGAAGTTACGAACGTGCCCCTTTGATGCGACTGTACTCGTTTACTGCGCCCCCTACCTATTCAAGAACCCCGCCTCTGTTTCTCTCTCTTCCACCGCCAAGGAGCTACCGAAACTCTTGAACTTCCATTTCCCTCGTCGGCGTTTTTTACAGTGCTAGGTTTTTCGTCGGAAAAATATCATCCAGGGAAGCAGAATCGGTTAACGACTACGAAATCGCTCATCGCGGCGATTTGAAGGAAAAAGACGGTTCATCTGGGGATGGCAGCGCGGAGGAAGCCACTCAAATCCTCCTGGTCATGCAAAGGTAGGCCCTAGAATGGCGAAACCGGCAAAGAGGAACGGCAAGGGCTGGTCGTACCATCGTACCCCCCCCCCAAAAAAAAGCAGTAAGTGCTAGGTTATCCACTATTTGGGGTCTCGTAGTAATGTGTCCTAATGTTAGTGCTAGGTTATCCATTATTTTATGATCTCGAAGTAATGTGCCCTAATGTTAGTGCTAGGCAATGTTAGTTCTAGTTTGAGTCCATGTTAGTTCTATAACAGTCGGCATTAGTTCTATTAGATTGCTAGGCAATGTTAGTTCTAGTTTGAGTCCATGTTAGTTCTATAACAGTCGGCATTAGTTCTATTAGATTTCGTTTAGTGTTAGGTCTAATTCAGTTCACGTTAGGTCTAATTGAACTTGAAATTTTTATTTTTACAGGAAAAGGCTTGCTGATACTGATGCGCTTGAATCAATAAGGCTAACCGTCAATATCGGGGGTCATTGGCAATTCAAGAAGCGTATTGCTCCGAAGATGCGTCAGTGTCACAGGGATACATATCGCAGATCTATATTTCAGCACTACATTTTATTTGGGGCTCTTGCGCCTGATTGCCCTACACTTGAACTGCTGCTGAGTTATTATGATAGGGCTAATGACACATTTTCTGTCCCTGATTTAAAGAATGGGGGCATAAAAAGTGTTAAATTTGATTTACAATGGGTCCATAACCATACTTACTTCCCAGCTTATGGGGAAGTCATACATATCAACCGGGGCTCAAAAAACATAATCTGGTTGCAATACTTCGCTGATCTTTTCAAAACTGAAGATGGGAAGAAGTTAAAAAAAGCAACAATCACCCATCGAAGATACCTTGAAGGGCAGCTGGAAAGGCTCGTGGAGTTTACAGAAAAACAGGATGTCCAAGACTTTGTTCTGCTGCAAATTCTGTACCAATGCTCTATGATATGGTGCCCCAGAAGGGGGAGGGTATCCCTAGACCTGTACTCAGATATCTGGATAGCATTGAGAGGGTCAAAGCGGTAGCATGGGCTGAATTCTTTTATTCAGAAATTACCAGGGGGATTAAAGTTGCTTTGGAGTGCAAGAAGAAGCCAGAGGTCACATATGTCCCACGTTGCATGACACTATTATGTGTAAGTGCCATGTTTTACTCAATTTGGTTCATTCTAGCTCTGATTCATGCCATGTGAGTTCTAACTTATGCCACGTTAGTTCTAGTTTCTGCTATGTTAGTTCTACTTTTCATCATGTTAGATCTAGCTGCGCTCATGTTAGTTCTAACCGTATTCATGTTAGTCCTTATTTGGGTCATGCTGCTAAGCCTTAAATGGCATCATGTTAGTTCAGAATTGGGTCACGTTAGTTCTAATAAAGGTCGGTTAGTTCTATCTCATGTTTGCACGTCATGTTAGTCCTATTGCATCTCACCTTAGTTCTAATAGGAGGCATGTTAGCTCTAGTTGGCGTCATGATAGTTCTAACGGAGTATCTGTTTGCTAGTTCTAAAGGTCGGTTAGTATCTGTTTGTTAGCTCTAATTTATGCCTTGTTAGTTCTGATTTGAATGCTTAATATATTTGCTTCAGCTTTGGTACTACGAGATGACGGGCATAAAGAAATATGCCTACGTCGACAACTCCAGACCTCCAATGACAAACTGGGCATCAGAAAAGGAGGTGAAAGTCCCATATATGAGGGTGAGGACCGTTGCATGCAAGGCTAAATCAGCTTCAATAACTGAAGTTCATAGGACTGTTGTGGAAGTTGGGCCTGCTCCTTCAAATGTACATGCACTTCCCGCCGTTCAGGGGGGGTGAAGGAGTGCGTCATGTGCCTAAGTTAAAGAGGAAGGTGAGGGCGGAGGAAACGAAGAACTTCTCAATAGGCTATGTAAATATCCTGTTAAGTCTAAGTTGTCTATAGCTAAATGTAAACAATATCCATGTATGTATAATCCTATTTTATTATAATATAATCTCTTAATAATTTCAGATCATGTTAAAACATATTGACAATGCTTTTGAAGATGAAGAGGAGGTGAAGGATCTACCCATTGAGCAGCAACTTACCTTTTGGAGAAATTCTGTTAAATTCCTCCAACGACTACTCTTTGCCACAAAGCAGAGCAAGAGTACATATTGTAAAAAATTTATGATTGAGATCAACAAGCTAAACAGAATAATTGAAGAACTTGGAAGACATGATGAGGTCATAGACCCAGTGGTGCTGAAGGCAAATATCAAACAAAAAATTATAAAAAAAATGAACCCGAAGCCACGGCTTGATGAGGAGGAACAACCATCCAAATCAAGTAGATTACATAAGGAAGACCCCATCATGCAAGAAGCTGAACATAAGATGGCTGAGGATGATGCTGAGGAGCCTGTTCATGATGTTGTTGTTCATGGATGTGAAGTTGATTTGGAGGTCACCACAATGGAAGACAAAGTTGTGGAGGATGTTGGTTCAATGGAAGGAGGAGATGATGTTGGGAATAAGCTGAGGGGGAAGCTATAATAGAAGGGGAAGAGGGGGAGGATGTTGGTCCCCAGAAGAATGGTGAAGTGGAATTCCCCGAGAATAAAGCTAAGGAGAATGCAGATAGGGAAGAGGTTATTGTAGATAATAAGTTTGAGGATAATGTAGATAAGGAGGATGAAAATGTAGATAGGGAAGTGGAGAATCTAGAGAAGGAGGAGGAGAAATCAGAGAAGGAAGAGGAGCTTGTTGGTGGAGAAGGGGGGAATGTAGATAGCAGGATTGAGGAGAATATACAGAAAGAGGAGGAGATTGTGTATAGGGAAGTGGAGCATGTTGGAAGAGAAGGTGAAAATGTAGATAGTTCTGCTGAGGCCATTGTTAATATTTCACATCAGGTGGACAAAATCTTGGAAGCTCTGTTAAGTGATGTGCAAACAGAGAAAGTTGTAGCAG